GATCATGTACGCGATGTACATTGTAATAATGATCACGTAAGGGTTGGCTATTAGTTAAAGAGGAACAATGTCGAATCGTCGTAGTACATTGTCGATGAAGTAACGTGGGGGAATGGATACCCTGCACCTAAGATGAGTCTCAGAGGTAGTTACTCATCCAGGTGGGGGGTTCATCCAAGAATATTCCCCTGAACCATCAAGTTAAGCTGCGGCATGTAGACTGCCCTTATATGCTTGAGGTCCTCAAGGGTAATCGAGGATTGTGGTTCTCTTCGTAGCCTATGGACTGGAGACGGGGGAGATTGGGCTAGTTGAATCAAAGCACGATCGGACAAGCCCGCAACGTCAGGGTCTGAGCTTTGAGCGACGAATTCCTCAAAAACCTCGGGGAAAACATCCCTAAGGGTTGACAAGCCTACTAGCGAGTCGAACATTAGATCTATTGTACAACTGATAGATGATGACATGGTTATAACTCAACTCTAGGTACCTGAAAAAAGAAGCGAAAATGTGTTAGAGCTTGAAAAATCGGCGACCATTCCACACTCGCTTCTATTTCAGGCACCCGAGATAACTGGCGCAATGCGATGAAAATATATGACCAACCCGAGACTGCCAAAGATGCACCTAAAAAACCCTACTAAAACCTTAGCACATACAATATGGCCACTATAGTAGCCACCCTTGTACAAAAAAAAAAAAAAAAAAAAAAAAAAAAAAAAAATCAAAGAAACAAAAGAGAATAAGGGAAAGAAGCCTTAACAGAATGGAGAAAGTACCAGGAACTCGTGAGAGAGACCACCATGACAACACAAGAGCAACAACAGAGAGCAGCAAGAGAGTCAGAATAACTTTCGGAATGACTATTCTAAGGTTTTTTTGCCACTTTTTATAGTGGTTTGCATGGGAAATGAAAAGTTAGGGTTTAATCACGGCCGTCAACTTAAAGCCGGTCTTCACCCTTCATTTATCGAGCAAACTCAGCCCTCGGACGTGGTCACATGTCAACCATCCACGGGGAGCGACGAACCGTCAGATTGTAATAATGATAACCGTCGCCTCGACTTCGCGCGTGACAAATGTCATCACCCATGCATGACGAAACGTAATTGACAAAGATTGCCGCATTTAATGCGACACGACCACACGAAAATTACTTTTATAATCTGACTTTTCATATTCTAAATTTTTGATAGGTACCATGGGAGATCCAAGTGTGGGGTACATCGGCCAAGTGTAAGGTCGACCATGGGAACCCGTTCGGGCATGCACTTAGAGATACACTATTGAAGCTGAGCTTGGCATCAAATCGAGCAAATAGTATTCGAAGCTCGAAGCAAGCATCGAACACTAGGGAGCAAGTGTTGTGTTTGGTTTTTCTGCCAAGCTCAAGCCAACGCGAGGACATAACTCGACTCAGAATAAGCTCGGCAACAATGATTGATCGACCTAGCATAAGCTCGTTAAGCCGAAGCTCGACCCAGCACAAACTAGTCACAGACGATTTGAGAAATCATTCAATCAACCTCTAGATTATTTCAAATCCCAGATATTACGGGAATGATTAGATCAACCGCGATCACTACACAATCACAGCGCCTAATTGCGAGAATATTGAAATTGCGATTAAGATCAATTACAATCCTCTTAATTTCACTCTTTTCTTTGTATCAATCTCGTATATAAACCCCCTCAAACGATGAGGAAGGGGTTACGAATTTCACATAGGAGCTACATTGTAAGCTCTCACAGCAAATACAAAAACAATAGACGTAGGCTTCATAATTTAACCTTGCCGAACCACTTTAAAACTCTCATTGTCTTTATTTTATTGCATTCTTTTACATACATTGCTGATTATCTTTAATCACACACACATCAATTTCGATCCTGGCAAGGTCGATCGGATCTCGCTGGTTGATGCAGATTTCTGTAACAACAATATATATAGAGCTGATTAATTATGGAAGTTAACTCATGTTTATAGTACTGTAATTAATATATATCAAAGTTGGACTTTAATAATATTAACAAAAAGACATTTGATAATCCAATTTGGATTCAGTAATTTTGCAAGTAATTAGAAATATATTTGATTTTCTTTTGGTCACGTTTTGTATATCCAACGGTTTATGAGGTTTGCGTTAATTTTAGACCAAACTCCGGCTTAATTAATCGACGATCAAAATAAAAAAGCGTCAAGGTTTTTATCCCAAATTAAAAAGAGAAGCTCGGGCTTTCTGGAAATGTGGAATATTATGTTAGGATCCCACATCAGGATCTCACACCCACCAAGTGTGGTACTTAAGCCTAGGGGCTCTCTCATCTATTAGGCCGGTCTTTTGGGTTAGACTCTCCCTTGGGCTTGAATTCTAACATTGGTGCTTTCGTTGAGAGTTAGGTTGCGAAAATGGCTACCTATAGTCTAGATTAAGGTGCAATGTGCATCGAATGACTGATAGGTGAGTGAAGTTGCCCAAAGGGGAAAAGGGCTACTGTCGGGTTAATGTCGATAGAATGAAAGCCATCGTAGAGGTCAGCTCTTGAAGGTGGATGCAATGTTAGAATCTCACATCGGGATCTCACACCCACCATGTGTGGTACTTAAGCCTAGGAGCTCTCCCACCTATCAAGCCGATCTTTGGGTTAGGCTCTCCATTGGGCTTGAGTTCTAACATATTATACATAACAACAAGAATACATATGATCTTTAGTCAATGCGCCATTAAATTAGTGATGCAAGACGTTGAAACGGTTCGCCCACGCGAGGCATAACCACATACAAAGTAGGTAGCAGTCACAATCTATGTGAAATGGTTGATTTTCACATTTCTACAGTTTTTAAAGCCCTTCATTCTGAAGAAAATTATCTACGAATTCAGGTTATTAAAGATCCACGTTCATATTGCTACTGCAATCATAGTCCCAAACTGGTTTTTTTATTAGGTTCATATAATAATTAATCTAATTTACGTGCTATGTTTGTTTATCTTGTAAATTTCAGGATGATACTCTAATTGGAGACGAGTCTTCAGTGGATATTGCCACCAAATCAAACTTGGAGAGTCTTGTAAAAATTGGTGAAAGACTATTGAAGAAACCAATTAAAGGTAAAACTTGAAGAATGTTTGATTTGGAGGAACAAATTGGTGGGTATGTTATGTTATATAAATTATTGAATTGCTCCCCTTTTTTTAATATTATTATTATATCATTATTTATTATTATTTTTTAACCCCCTACCTTTACAAATTTAGCTAAAACACCCCCATAATAAAAGTTTGAAATTAATGAAGACACCCCCACCCACCCAGCATGCCAGGCGTCGGCTACCAAATGACGAACGGCTAGAATAGATCTAACTATTTTCGACCATAGATGTGGATAAAAATGGCCATATCGGCGTACAGTCGGACAAATCTAGAACAATGTCGATCGCCGGTAGTGGTGGTTAGATCCTGCCACCAGTCATGCATAATATTTTTCAAGTTCATCGGTATTTTCATCTTAAAAATTTTGTATATAAGAATAAAATAGTCCTTGAATTTTTTTGTAATTTTTTTTTTCAAAACAAATGTATTATTGTCCAAAGATTTTAATAGTTAAGGGTAAAATTGTAACAAAATTAAGATTATCAAGTAATCTTAAAATACTTAAGAAAATAGAGATAATCAAATTACCTCCTATATTATCAATAGTAATTACTACTAGTTTTAAAAGATTACTGGAATCATATATTACTTGACAATTAAACATGATAATCAAATAATATAAGATAAAATTACTTTAATAATAAGATAAAATTACTTTAATAATAGGAGATTATCCCCGACCAAACACATTGGGAGAGTTTTCTCAGGAGTTTATCCACATCGAACAGGGGGCACGGCCTGGTCACTTTCCATGCACGGTCTGAAAACATGTGATTAAATTAGTATCATTGTTTTCTCTTGGTATACTGTTCATATCCTTATAGTTTCCCACTTTGAAACAAAGTAGTGTGTTCGACAATGTATAATTTACGCATATAGTATAAAAAGAATTTGCTCAATAGAAACATAGAAAAAGAATTACACTTGGATTAAACTTAACAGACTATGAAATATATATTTCTTATAATTTTTTTTTAAAATATATTAACACTTATGGATTATGCCGTATCTCTAAACCTTTTGACTTTTAGAAATTAGCTTCTCCTTCAAACATGCAAGAGTGAGAGCGACGTGATAACAAACAGTCAAGTCAACAAATATTACAACTCACAGTCAACGGAAAGACGCCATGAGATGGAGGTTTTTGTCTGGCCCAAAGTTGCCGTAACAGGAAAGAATTATAATGCTACGCATATCCATTCATATCCAAATTAGCTTCCAGTTTTACGAATTTCCGTAGCAGTGTATAAATTGAAATTTCAAAACTTCTTGTTTGGATCCAAAGTAATACAATCTAGTTGAATTTTATCCTCCTTGATTCTCTACAGGGTGACATCCGGAGAGTCAACCTATCAAAGTTGTAGTCGCCAAGAATTACTTTTCCACTGATTTTCATTGCTGCAAATTTTACGCTTCTATTTCTTCTGGTGACGCGTATTGAAGCCGAAATATAAATTTTACTCTTACCAGTTCTTGCAAAGGAATACTTGGCATCTGTTAACACTGACCAATAATCGTCCACTTGTTGCTTGGAGGAAAGGCTAAAACAAATATCGACCCTTTCAGCATTGTGTAAGTTTTTGATGCTGGACTTACGAAACTTCAATTGTTTCTCCGGGAAACAATAAAATATACAGATTCGGTCCAACAAAAAGCCAAGTCCGAGAAGTTAAAGAGATAAGATAACAGCGGCGACTCTTAGTGCAACTAGAGCAGCTGCACCTGCATATACATGTGCTGTGTCAAAGTTTTTTACTAGAAAATTATTCTTCCTATGAATGTTTGAAAATTCAGAACTGGATTATGAGAAACAGATCGAAGTCTATAAATATCACATTCTTGAAGAACACATGCACTTCATTTCAGTCTCTCTCATTCTCAAAGCTCTTAAAACATAGAACTTCTCTATCTACATATATCTATCTCCCTTTTTCTTAATCTATCACTTTCCTTTTCGCATTACAATCTCACATCATGGAAAGTCCAAAAACGCCCCTACAACCTCCAACTTATGGTAACCTAATAACTGTTCTGAGCATTGATGGAGGCGGGATTAGAGGCATTATCCCAGCAACTATCATTACCTTCTTAGAGTCCGAGCTTCAGGTAGAAAAAATAGTTTACATGCAATACTGGGATAATTTTCTTTTATATTTATCCCCTACCCTAACCTCCACTCCAAAAATATATTCTTATTATTTACCCATATATATGGTTTTGACCCTGTTTTCTCATGCATACAGATTCAGCTAAAGATCATTGCCCATATATATATAAGTGTTAATTTTACGTATACTTGTTTGTGTTTATGACCTGATACTAAGCGTTTGTTTGGTTACTAACAGAAACTGGACGGCGAGGAAGCAAGACTTGCAGATTATTTTGATGTAATTGCAGGGACTAGCACTGGCGGCCTCGTGACAGCCATGCTAACAACCCCAAATGAGCAGAACCGCCCTCTATTTGCAGCCAAGGATATCAAGGACTTCTATCGAACTCACTGCCCTAAAATTTTTCCCCAAGATAGGCAAAAATCTTTTCATAATGAATTATGACCTGGACGTCATGACTGATATCTTTTCTCATCGAACTGTTAATAATAATTGCCGTTAAACTTCCATTACATGACAGTTATCCGTTCGCTCCTGCTACAAAGCTGCTCAAATCTTTGACTGGACCAAAATACGATGGTAACTATCTACATAATCTCGTGAAGGAGAAGTTAGGAGATAAAAGACTGCACCAGACCTTGACAAATGTCGTGATTCCAACTTTTGACATCAGGAAACTCCAGCCAACCATCTTCTCTAGCTATGAGGTTCGTTTATGCCTCTATTTCCGCCCTCGTGCTATTTTTTTTTTCCAAAGAAGCTGAATTAGAATAACTATTTTAACAATTCACAGATCATGCGTTCTCATACTATATATATGTGTCTCTGTGGTTTAGGTGGCTAAAAATCCAAGTATTAATGCCTTACTTTCGGATATCTGCATTGGAACATCAGCTGCCCCAACCTATCTCCCAGCACATTACTTCGAAACCAAAGATTCAACAGGGAAAGTGAGAGAATTTGATCTCGTTGATGGTGGTGTAGCTGCTAATAATCCGGTATATATCATAGATTTGATCTTAAAATTTGAATATTTTTGAAATTTTATGGCAAGTTGTTAATTAAGAAATCTTATTCATTTTTTTCTATATTTTCAGACTTTAGTTGCAATCAGTGAAGTGACCAAAGAAATCACCCGGGGGAGCTCAGACTTCTTTCCTATAAAGCCAACGGCCTATGGTCGGTTTCTGGTTATATCAATAGGGACTGGCTCACCAAAGACCGAGGAGAAGTACGATGCCCTTAAAGCGGCTAAGTGGGGAATTTTAGGGTGGTTAACAAGTGAAAGTTCCACTCCATTAATCGATGTATTTACCCAATCCAGCAGCGACATGGTTGATTTTCACATTTCTACAGTTTTTAAAGCCCTTCATTCTGAAGAAAATTATCTACGAATTCAGGTTATTAAAGATCCACGTTCATATTGCTACTGCAATCACAGTCCCAAACTGGTTTTTTGATTAGGTTCATACAATGACTAATCTAATTTACGTGTTATGTTTGTTTATCTTGTAAATTTCAGGATGATACTCTAATTGGAGACGAGTCTTCAGTGGATATTGCCACCGATTCAAACTTGGAGAATCTTGTAAAAATTGGTGAAAGACTGTTGAAGAAACCAATTATAAAGGTGAATCTGGAGACAGGACTCTGTGAGCCTTCTACTTGGGGCACGAATGAAAAGGCTCTCAAAAGGTATATTTATATTTATATATATATAACAAATAAAATTAATTTTACATACCTATCATGAGCTAGGGAAGTTTTTGTATACTAATTCCTTACGTTTTAATTATTTGTATAGAGTAGCAGAAGTACTTTCAAAGGAAAAGCGGACTCGTGACATGAGATCACCACATGGCCCAAGGGGTGCAACCCGGAAATATTGAACAATACTGTGAAACAAATAATAATTATATTCATTTTTTTAATCGTTGCCTAAGGCTGATTATTGTCCTTGTTACTAATTATTCTTTTTCATCCGATTTAATATAAAATTCGTTCCATCAGTTTGAATGCAATTTGTTATTGCAAATTGATCTTGTTAATTTCAGTTTGGTTCGAATCTTATTGAAGTGAACTGAGGTTGCTGTTTTTATAAAAGTAGATGGAGTAAGTGAAATTACAAAAACAGAGCAGTTTCCAGCTCTCTTTGCTAAACAACTTAACAAGACGAGCTTAATAAAACACTGCGTTTTTATTTACCACTCTTAAGAATAAAACGCTGCGTATCAGTCTTTTCTCAGACTTTCATTCTTCACAAATCACAAGTATAATTAATTTACAAGGTACCGTGGTGGAATCAAATTGAAAATATGTTTCTATTCATTTTTAATTATTTATGAATTATGATGTAAAGATTTTATCTAGGTTGGGCATATATATACCGATCTATGTTACAATCCTTTTTTTTTTTTTTTTTTTTTTCTGTTTCTATAAATAATTTATTAATATTTACTCCATAGTTTGAAGCCAAAGATGGCATCTGATTATATATAATTTATTCAGTAAAGGAGGATAATTTGTTCAGTTATGGGATTCCCACACATATAGAACGAACTTTCAAGCTAGGTTTTGTTTAGAATTTATTGGCCTCAATCACATTCTAAACGTTGACCGGTAGGTATTTCATATATCTATCAAGACATGTCGAAATCAGATGACCAAATGGTCCAACTCCTAATGCTTGATTGCTTTTCTGATATTGTCATGATCCTAAAATCCAAGGTGCTCTGAAGTGTACCGTAAGGAATGCATATTTCCAAAGTCTGAATTTGTAATACAGCCATCTTATATAATAGCATAACATCGCCTTTCTTTGGAAAGAGACATGACATCTTTCTCAAAATTTCATCGAAAAACACTGAATTTGTTATTTTTTTTCAGACTTTAGTTGCTATAAAGAGATCACTCGAGGGAGTTCTGATTTCTTTCCTATAAAGCCAATGGACTACGGTCGGTTTTTGGTGATATCATTAGGGACTGGTTCACCGAAGACGGAAGAGAAGTACGATGCTCATAAAGCGGCAAAGTGGGGTCTGCTGGGATGGTTGACCAGTGAAAGTTCGACTCCATTGACTGATGTGTTTATGCAATCTAGCGGCGACATGATAGACTTTCACATATCTAACGTTTTTAAAGCACTTCATTCCGAAGAAAGTTATCTTCGAATTCAGGTACATATCCATGTTCATGGTGTTAATTAACATAATATTATATAGTATGTTATCTCTCTAATCAATTTGATGAAAAATTTCAGGATGATACCCTAACCGGAAACGAGTCTTCCATGGATATAGCCACCAAAAAGAACTTGGAGAGTCTTGTGGGAATTGGTGAAAGACTACTGAAGAAACCAGTTACAAAGGTTAATTTTGAGACTCGAGTCTGTGAGCCTTGTCATAAGGGTACAAATGAAGAGGCTCTCATAAGGTACATAACTTTTGTACTATGTTTTCTATAATAATCAGTATTAGCATATATACCTAATTTTTGGTCATGATACAGGTAAACCTAAAATCATTACTAATTTTTGTGTATATATTTGTTTATATGCAGTTTTGCAGAAATTCTCTCCAAGGATAAGCGAACTCGTGACCTAAAATCACCACATGGAAGGGTGACAAATTTAAAGTGAACAATATTATTGTTCGACTAGTTATATCATTTTTTTTTTTTCAATTAGTTAAATAAACTGGAGTTATTTTTTATTCTATTTAGAATAAAAATTCAAACGAGATGGTCTATGTAATTTAGAGTAATACTAGTCTTACAAAGAGGCATATAAAGAGATAAATTGGTAAAGTCCTTCCTTTCTTTTATATATATATATGGAGCTGATTAATTATGGAATTTAATTCCTGTTGATAGTACTGTAATTAATATATATCAAAGTTGGACTTTAATAATATTAACAAAAAGACATCTGATAATCCAATTTGGATTCAGTAATTTTGCAAGTAATTAGAAATATATTTGATTTTCTTTTGGTCACGTTTTATACAGCCAATGGTTTATGAGGTTTGAGTTAATTTTAGACCAAACTCTGGCTTAATTAATCGATGATCAATATAAAAAAGCATCAGGGTTTTTTTATCCCAAATTAAAAAGAGAAACTCAGGCTTTTTGGAAATGTGGAATATTATGTTGGGATCCCACATCGGCATCTAACACCTATCAAGTATGGTACTTAAGCCTAGGGGCTCTCCCACCTATCAGGTCGGTCTTTTGGGTTAGACTCTCCCTTGGGCTTGAGTTCTAATATTAATGTTTTCATTGAAAGTTAGACTGTGAAAAGGGCTACCTATTGGCTAGATTAAGGTGTAATGTGCATCGAATGACTGATACGTGAGTGAAGTCGCCTAAAAGGAAAAAAGGGCTACCGTCGGGTCAATGTCGATAGAGTGAAAGCTGTCATGGACGTCAGGCTCTTGAAGGGGGATGCAATGTTAGAATCCCACATCAGGATCTCACACACACCAAGTGTGGTACTTAAGCCTAAGGAGTAAGGGCTTTCCCATCTATTAGGCGGTCTTTTGGGTTGGGTTCTCCTTTGGACTTGAATTTTAACATATTATACATAACAAGGAGAATATATATGATCTTTAGTCAATGCGCCATTAAATTAGTGATGCAGGACGTTGAAATGGTTCGCCCATGCAAGGCCACCTTTTATAGTGGTTTGCATGGGAGACAAAAGGGCGTAGTTTAATCATGGTCGTCGACTTAAAGTCGATCCTCACCCTTAATTTATCGAGCAATCTCGGCCCTTGGACGTGGCCACGTGTCAACCATCCATGGGAAGCGACGAACCGTCAGATTGTAGTAATGATAACCGTCGCCTCGATTTCACGAGTGAACAGTTGTCATCGGCCACGCACGACGAAACGTAACTGACAAAGGTTACCGCATTTAATGTGACACAACCACACGGAAATTACCTTTATAACCTGACTTTTCATATTATGAATTTTGATAGGTACCATGGGAGATCCAAGTGTGAGGTACGTCGGCCAAGCGTAAGGTCAACCATGGGAACCCGTTTGGGCATGCATTCAAAGATACGCTGTCGAAGCTGAGCTTGGCATCAAATCGAACACTAAGGGGCAAGTGTTGTGTGTGGTTTTTTCACTAAGCTCGAGTCAATGCGAGGAAATTACTCGACCTATAATGAGCTCAGCAACAATGATTGATTGACCCAACATAAGCTCGTCAGCCGAAGCTTGACCCAGCACAAACTAGTCACGAATAGTTTGAGAAATCATTCAATCAACCTCTATATTATTTCAGATCCCAGATATTACGGGAATGATTAGATCAACCGTGATCACTGCGTAATCACAGCACCTAATCGCGAGAATATTGAAATTGCGATTCAAATCAATTACAATCGTCTTAATTTCGCTCTTTTCTTTGTATCAATCTTGTATATAAACCCCCTCAAACGATGAGGAATGGGTTACGAATTTCACACAGGAACTATATTGTAAGCTCTCACAGTAAATACAAAAACAGTGGACGTAGGCTTCAGAGTTTAACCTCGCCGAACCACTTTAAAACTCTCATTATCTTTATTTTATTGCATTCTTTTACATACATTGCTGATTATTCTTAATCATGCACACATCAGTTTCGATCCTGGTAAGGTCGATCAAATCTCGCTGGTTGGTACAGATTTCTGTAACAACAATATATATGAAGCTGATTAATTATGGAATTTAATTCCATTTTATAGTACTGTAATTAATATATATCAAAGTTGGACTTTAATAATATTAACAAGAAGACATCTGATAATCCAATTTGGATTCAGTAATTTTGCAAGTAATTAGAAATATATTTGATTTTCTTTTGGTCACGTATATCCAACGGTTTATGAGGTTTCAGTTAATTTTAGACCAAACTCTGGCTTAATTAATCGACGATCAAAATAAAAAAGCATCAGGGTTTTTATCCCAAATTAAAAAGAGAAACTCGGTCTTTCTGGAAATGTGGAATATTATGTTAGGATCCCACATCAGGGTCTCACACCCACCAAGTGTGGTACTTGAGCCTAGAGGCTCTCTCACCTATCAGGCCGGTCTTTTGAGTTATGTTCTCTCTTGGGCTTGAGTTCTAATATTGGTGCTTTCATTGAGAGTTAGGCTACGGAAATGGCTATATATAGGCTAGATTAAGATGCAATGTGCATCAAATGACTGATAGGTGAATGAAGCTACCCAAAGAGAAAAAGGGTTACCATCGGGTCAGTATCGATAGAGTGAAAGTCATCATAGATGTCAACTCTTGAAAGAAGGTACAATGTTAGAATCTCACATCGGGATCTCACACCCACCATGTGTGGTACTTAAGCCTAGAGACTCTCCCACCTATCAGATCGGTCTTTCAGGTTGAACTCTTCCTTAATTTTGAGTTCTAACATATTATACATAACAACAAGAATATATATGATCTTTAGTCAATGCGCGATTAAATTAGTGATGCAGGACGTCGAAATGGTTCACCCACGCGAGGCATAACCACATACAAAGTAGGTAGCAGTCACAATCTATGTTCACCAGTGACCAGTGGATATTAGTGTAATAACACCCGTCACAATCAAATAATCAAATAGTCCCAAATATGAAAGATTCTGTTTCACTTAAAATAATTAATTGCTGGCTTTCAATTAAGTGCAATAGAGTTATATTAAGTAATGGCATGTCATTACCTTCTTTGAGAAAGAATTGAAAGATGATTTTGTTTTCAATATCACTGAATTGAAAGATATATAAGGAAACTAATCCCGGCCTATCTGAAACAAAAGAAGTGAAAATTAATATTGCTTGAAATGACGATTTATCAGAACGGTTTAAATAAAGTGTCCATTTTTTAAGTAACCATAATTAAAAAAAAAAAGTACGGATCCAACAACTGAAATAAAAAATAGAGATGCTTATTATTAATCTATCTGAGATTTTTCAAAATACAGTGACTAATTAATGAAGAATCAAACGGGGGGGATATGTATACAGTTTTGCAGTGCTCCACCCCTTGTTATTCAAGACCTTACAAGATATCCCACATTAATCTGGGATTTATTCAAACAGCTTAATTGAATAACAGTAATTAACTGTAAAGGTGCATCAGCATCCTTATTTGCAACACCAATAAATCTATTACTAATCTTATATAATCATTAACTAGTTAGAATTTGTAGCCCGTCCATTGGGTGACGGTGACCTAGCCTGGCGAAGCCGCTTCTCGTCCGAAAGTAGTTTCGCAAACCTGCAACGTAAAAGGTTTCCCATGGCATCATAACTAAGAAAAACTTTAAGACAGAAATTTAGAAATATTATTAGATATTATGTATACCTTATGAGAGCCTCCTCATTGGTTTCACCATTATTAAAGGGTTGAAAGATGCCCGATTCCACATTCACCCTTGAAACTGGTTTCTTTAACAAATTTTCCCCAACTTTCACAAGGTCTTCCAAGTTATTCTTTGTAGCTATATCAACCGAAGATACGACGCCGTTTAATTTATCATCCTGAGTTGTTTCATTCAAAAGTTTTATGAATGATTGATTTTTGGTCAGCGAATATAGTAATAATTAGAGAAATAACTTGAATGATAAGCTTATATCTACCTGAATCCGAAGATAGTTCTTTTCCGAGTGAAGAGCTTGGAAAACCACAGAAATGTGTAAATCTACCATATCTGCACTTGCTTGAGTAAACACATCAACTAATGGAGTGGAACCACCACTTGTTAACCAACCCAATACTCCCCACTTTGCTGCTTCTTCGGCACTGTATTTTCCTTCTTTTTTTGCCGAGCCAGTTCCTAGGGATATAACTAGAAACCGTTCATAGTCCATTGGCTTTATAGGCAAGAAGTCGGGACTTCCCCTAGTAATTACCTTTGTTACTTCACCAATAGCAACTAATGTCTACAAGTAGAAAGGCACAGGATTAGTTGATTTTTATTTCCTGCGCCCGAGAAAAATATTAATTGCTACGTCAATATGCAGAAACTTTATTATGTAGTTATGTACCGGGTTATTTGCGGCAACTCCACCGTCAATCAGGTTGAAGTCTCTCACTTTCCCTGCCGAGTCCTTGGTTTCGAAATAGTGTGCTGGAAGATAAGTTGGTGCTGCTGAGGTTGCTATGCATATGTCTGACAATAATGCATCTAAGCTTTGATTCTGTTTCACCTATTATTCCACTAAAGACACATGCTAATTAATTGAAAATAGTAGAGTTGAAATCTCTCATCACTTTCTTATATATGTAGTTTTGACTGCTAAAGGCAACATTATACACATTCATTTAACGTGAATATAAAGGATGGAATATTGAAGATCTCTTAAGGAAGATGTACCTGATAGCTGGAAAAGATGGTCGGCTGGAGTTGCTTGATGTCAAAAGTAGGGATCACAACATTTGTCAATGTCTGGTGAAGTCTTGTATTTCCTAGTTTTTCCTTAATAATTCTATGAAGATGCTTTCCATCGTATTTTGGTCCTGCCAGAGCTTTGATCACCTTCCTAGCGTTTGTAAATAATGGAATACTGTTGTTTACGGAGAAAAAAAAAATAAAAAAAGCTTGTGATTAACCATAAAACCTTAAACTCGATACTAGAGCAAGACAATATAATTAATCGTTACCTAGGTTGGGGAAAGATTTTGGGACACTCATCTAAGTAGAAGTCCTTGATATCTTTGGCCGCAAATAGGGGTCGGTTTTTTTCATTTGGAGCAGTCAGCATGGCAGTCACAAGACCGCCTGTGCTTGTCCCTGCAATCACATCAAAATAATCCGCGATTCTTGCATCCTCACCATCAAGCTTCTGCAAGCGCGATTAAATAATCAATAGTTAGTACGGTAAGGTAACCTTCAAATTAAATTACATAATACAAACCTTCAAGACGATGCAACAGTTAAAAAATATAGTTTAGTATCATAGTTGACACGCCTTCTGAGATTGATATTGTTTGACATGCATGAGCGGTTCATGCATCAACTTGATTACGTGAATATTTGTGCTCTATATAGAAAGTGATTATTAAAAGCCATAGTTTCACTCGAAGGTAATAGTTTGCACATTTTACCTGAAGTTCAGACTCAAGGAAAGCAAGGATGGTTCCTGGGATAAGTCCTCTTATTCCACCCCCATCGATGCTAAGAACAGTGATTAGGTTTCCATAAGTTGGAGGTTCGAGGGCTGCATTTGTTTTTTCCATGAGAAATCTATTAAAATCAAGGTATAAACTAAACAGAGATGAGGAGAAAGGGGCTTTAAGAGACTTAGGAGAGAAACAATTGAGGTACAAGTCTTTAAGAGCCTTGGAGAGAATGAGTTCTATATGATGCCCTTTTGAATGCTCAATATTCGGAAACCATGCTAGGTATTTATAGACTGTTCATCCTACTCATTTCATAGAGCCCATCGTATCTTTGGATAAACGTACTCCGAATTTGACAAACATATAATTCTTGTTTAATAAGTGGACCGGTAACTTGTTCCTCTGTCATAAGAAAATTCCTAAGAAATGCGAAGTAAACAATAGTCAAAGCGTGTCGCATGCTGCTTGTATGAATATATTGCATAGTATCAGTAAATGTAAGAATTGTAGTTGAGACTCCTGACTTGCAGAGAATTGTAGGTAAGAATGTGACAATATAACTAGGGTCGCTAGATCATAACTCTTTCGCTTGATTATTTAAAGGAACACAATTGCTGTTTTTTCAACTTTTTATCATTATCCCCATCAAATGGCTTTGTTTATAGGTTTATTTATAAAATGCAGCATCTTCAAAAATTAGTGACAAGAAAACTAATCATTTACCTATTCAATACATTGATTTTTATTCATAAAAGTCGGCACGTCAAATATAAGAAAAACATAAAATCATATTAAATTTAAAAGTCAATACATTAATTTTTATTCGTAAAAGTCGGCACGTCCGATATAAGAAAAACATAAAATCATATTAAATTTAAAGGTTAATTAAGACCAAAATTACTTACAAAAACTTCATATGTGTCAACTGCTTTAATTGTAATTAAAAAAAAATTGTATAAAAAAATTCCATTTATAAAAAACTTCATATTCCGGACCTATGACTCTCTAAAGTTTTAGAAAACCCTAGATGATTGGTAGTTCCTAATAATTAATTCTTGTTATTCTTCTGCCAGAAAGGAGAGAAAAAAATGAAATCGGTGGTCAGTTATAAGTGTAAGGTTTCTCTTTTGGGCGGCTTTACGGAAAAATTCATGGTATCTTGGTTAATGGTTATACCAACTGTAGGGGGGGGGGGGGGGAAGGGGAACAAGATATTGCTGCTCCAGTGCTTTCTCTGTTTCTCTCTTATTTCTTTGCTTGATTTATTTGTCTCTCTTCCTCCATTTCTTTAATTTGTTCTAAAGTTGCTCGATTGGAGATTAATTGAGAAATAGGATCTGTAAGTCATCAGAACCACAAAGGATTGAATCTCACCAACGCTAAAAAATGAATGAAAAAGTAAATAAAATTATTGAAACCAAACTTGCAGTTGTAGCTGTGAATATCCTTTTATCCAGCATTTTCTATATATCTGACAGTGTAGTACTATAATTGACTTCAGGGAGCACTATTTGATTTTTAATTCCTTTAGAAAACCTGTCTACATATTTTCCCATCTTCATAAAAATAAATTATCTGGCTAATCATGTTGAACTAATTGTTCAAACAACTACATAGCGTACGGAACATCAAGAGCAGAAGTTAATCATATATAAAACTATGGATCGATACTTTGATTCCTTTGGGTAATAAATGGATAACGTACGTTTTGTACAAGGCCGTGGCCAATAGAACGTTTCTTATTATAAAACTATATATGACGATAATTTTTACTGTTGATGATTAAAGAAAGCCACTACGGAAGTTGGTTCTTTGATTAACCTTATCTTAGGAAGTGACGACTTAAGCATCACGAGTGATGCTTGTGAGACTTACACAGTTGACAGAATAAACAAATTCAGTATAATCTCACAGAAATCAAGTTAAACGTTGGTTTTATTTTGTTTGAATAAAAATTGGGCAAAGTCGAATAAAATATATCGTGGCAGCCCTAAGTAAATACGAGACAGAAGGAACCGAGATTAGCACAACTATGTGGCAGCTCTTGACGTAAAGTAAACAAGGCGGCTCAAACTTTTGACTCAAAGTCGGACCAGAAGATTGCTATGTGTGCAATGCATGCAATTCACATGGTTAAACATCAGCAAATAAATATTCTAATCCAGATTAATGTCCTCCAGATGGTGACCCTTATCTGTATACATCGGCAGTGTTTCATCAATTCTATAATATGAAGAGAAAATAATTAAGGGTTCCATCAAATGAAAACAATTATTTCTGCTTTCTTATTTACTCAAGTATTTTTGAAACCCGGGGCCATTAGCTTCTAATGAATCAAAGCTATACTATTAATAATAAGATATATGATTCAATTATACAAGTACATGTTTTGAAGAACATCTGCATAAATTATAAGTTGATTAAGAATATTTCTCTTTCATTGGGAGCCAAATATGCAAACATATTCAGCTGAGGTACTATCTGAGGATATGTCCTATGGTAAGATGTCTCTCTTTATGTTCCTTTGCTTCCTTATCTCATTTTGTCTTTTTATCCTTTACATACTTAAAATAGACAAACAAGAAGAGACTATATTATTAGTCTTTTAGGTTTGTATTTTTTTTTCTAACTCAGGACATGTCCTGAGATAGGATGAACAGTTTTTTTATGACCTCTTTATACATTATTCCTCTTCTAATCGTACTATTTATCCCCCCCCCCCCCCCAAAAAAAAAAAAAAAAATTTATGCGAACAGATCCAGCTTCTCCACTTCTTATGTCATGTATGAGAAGCGTGTTGTTAACTTAGTTTTTCTCAGTTAGACAAATAATAGAATATAATTAAAATGATCAGCCCCTACCTTAACTATATCAAACTCAAGACATCATCACGATTTACGTGTAGTATTAAGAGGGGATCGATACGTACACGTAACACCCGCCACCAAACCGTGCGGATAACTTGATCATTAACTAAATCTGTATGAGCCACAAGAAGAGAGAAGCAAACATTTTGCGTATGTGTATGAAACTCATGACTGATGCTAACTCCTGACCTCAACTCAAATCAAATCAAAATCAAACAGATAAATTATTGCTGCTTGAATTTATATATATGGTTAAATCTTCTTTTGCTTTTAGAAAATAATTTCCTTGTTCTATCACCGAGTCTATTAGATTATTTCTTGCATTTTGCTAATGCTTTGTATAACAACAAATACATGAATAATATTTCAAGTGATAGGAAAGACATACAATTTTGTGCTTTAAAACTGTACTGTTCCATAATATGGTTTGACCTTCTTTCCGGATAGAAATCATTAGTCATATTAACCTAAGATCAACCCAAGTATTTTTGGCTTCATATTCTTTCTTCGGAAGAACCTCTTTCAATTGGAAAGTGATTTTTAGCATCCATGAAATTGATCAGTAGTTCCCATTACTAAATACACCTCTACTATATATATTTTTTTTTAAAAGAAATATCTTTAAAACCCATTTAATACTTAAAATAACCATCTAAATTAGGATTTTTGTTTACACTCTTTTTTCCCAATTTTAATTTAATTAAGATTTTTGCTTACACCACTTTTCCTCAATTTCAAACTTATTTAGTTTAGATTCATCTCGTTGTATGATTATTTCACCGTAGCTTTAGTAATATGTTTTTATCAAATAAAGAAATACTTGAAATAAAAAAAAAAAAAAGTTATATTGATTTAGAAGATTTAGAGTTAGGGTGGTTTATTATTAGAGATTAAAGTAAGAATTAAAAGAAAAATATATAATAGAGTGTCATGGTATTTATAAATTATTACGTCATTTTTAATCATTTTCATTGAGGTTAAAATTGTAAAAACAAAAAATATTTAAAAGTGGCGATTATTGATCAATTTGACGGGGGCTAAAAATCACTTTCCCTTTCAATTGGTTTTAGGTGTGTAATTAGAGGTATGTCAGGGTGTATTTAGTATCAAACTAAGGGCTTGTTATAAGATGTTTCTTACGCCACTGCCCGTTCATCATATAAAGCTGGCCCGTTAATCCAATCTCAAGCCTATATATTGAATCTGCGCATGTCCATTCACCCCCCAAAAACTCCAAATTGGTTATAGCACACAATTACATTTTTATTACTGAAAGAAATACAAAAGAGGTTGGAAATTTAGCATATACAATATACATAGCTAATTTTATTGCATTATTTATTATTCGTCCAATGCATCTTACAAACTAGAAACATCAAGATCAAATTGGTCCTAAATATTGTACAAATGATCATTAGTATGACGAAAGCATTTTCTCATTCAAGGTCATGCCACGCTCGATTATTCAATAACGTGAAATCTGTTTATTCAATAAGACATAACGTATTACACTTGAATCATAAGGGAGAAAACTCTACGATTTGTTCTTGTAATATGCGGCCTCACGGAGCCGCTTCTCTTCTGAGAGCAGTTTTGCGAACCTATAAAACAGTGAGAAAAAAGCTGTTAAAATCTTAATTGAATAAAACATCAAATGGATAGTCTTAATTACCTTTTAAGAGCCTCTTCGTTAGTCTCATTTTCTACGGGCTCCGATTTTCCTGTCTCCAAATTCACTCTTGAAACGGGTTTTTTTAACAATTCTTCTGCAACTTTTGACAGATTGTTCAAATTTTTTACGGTAGAGATATCCACAGAAGATAAATCTCCTTTTAGTGTATCGTCCTAGAAATTTCTCATTTAAATTAGAATTTGAACATGAGATTGTAGCAAGGTGATAATCTTTTTCAGTTCTAATATGGTGAACATATACAAAAGCTAGCTAGTATATATATACCTGGATCCGGAGATATCTTTTTTCATTTTCTAGGGATTTAAAAATCACAGAAATGAGAAGATCTGCTATATCAGCGCTCGCTTGAGTGAATACATTTACTAATGGCGTGGACTGGCTACTGGTTAACCACCCAAATATACCCCACTGAGCTGCTTTCTTGGCACTGTACTTCTCTTCAACTTTTGGTGCGCCTGTTCCAATGGATATCACCAGAAGTCGTCCATAATCTGCTGCCTTTATTGAAGAAAAACCAGGATTGCCTCGATGGATCTCTTTTGTTACTTCACCAATAGCAAGTAAGGTCTATAAAAAAACTTAGGAATTAGATAAAAAGATTGTTTTATTTAAATAAAAATATTAAATCAAATCCATTTTAAATAGCTGTATGCAAACCAAATTTGTATTTACCGGATTATTAGCAGCCATACCGCCATCGATAAGATTGAATTTTCTCACTTCTCCGTTGGAGTTATTGGTTTCAAAGTAATGGGCAGGGAAATAAGTGGGAGCAGCTGAAGTTCCAATACATATATCTGAGAGTAAAGCATTCAGGCTAGGCTTCTTCTTTGTCTAAAAAGGAAAAAAATGAGAGAATAACATTCATTCAGTTAAAATGAACCGTGTGAAATATGAAATACTGATTTTATCTGAAAAAGGACAGAAATATCAACGAACTTATTTGAAACCTCAAAAGATGAGAAAATTGTTGGTTGGAGTTCTTTGATGTCAAAAGTTGGGATGACAACATTAGTTAATGTCTCGTGCAATCTCTTGTTTCCTAGTTTTCCCTTGAGAAGGCTATGGAGATACTTGCCATCATATCTTGGTCCAAAAATTGTTTTGCTCTCTCTTAAAGCATAGCCAAATAGACAGTACCTGTAGTTTAAACAGGATAAAGTATTGTGTAAGTAGTACATAAAATTGACAAGCTTTTAATTATGCTAGTTAAATGTTGATCTAGAATTTATTAAATGATTGTTACCTGTTTTGAGGAAAAATTTTAGGGCCATTTTCGAAATAAAAGGCCTTGATATCTTTGGCTGCATACATAGGGCGGTTTTCTTCATTTGGTGCTGTTAACATGGTAGTTACGAGGCCTCCTGTACTTGCCCCTGCATTCACATCAAAATAATCTGCTATTCTCGCCTCCTTGCCATCCAATTTCTGCACAATACATGAAAAAAAAATATAAATAAACTATACATATCATTCAGAGCTAAGTAGAATGAAATTCCTATTTACGAGACAGCATACACCATTAAAAACGTCTGATGATCAAGAGAATAACATGGGCCATTTTGTTATTATATTTATTGACGGAAGGTGTAGGTCACGGTAGTTGACTTTAAGGAAAACAGAATGATATTTTGAGTTAAAACATTGAAATGATAATAACATTGATAGCATGCGACTCATGCCAGTACATATATATAAAAATATAACCTGTAACTCAGACTCTAGAAAGGCAAGAATAATTCCCGGAATAATCCCTCTTATTCCACCTCCGTCGATACTGAGAACTGTAATGAGGTTTCCATGAGTTGGAGGTTTCATGGAAAATTTTGATTTTTCCATAATGTAATGAGAAAGAGTTGGGTGTGCTTAAGTCTTGAAAATCCAGCAATTTATAAACCACTTCTTCAAGCTTATCAAGTCTTGGTTACTCCTTGCTAAGGTATGTATGGACACTATGTACCATGTGGTAAAGATCATGACTGGAGTTGACACAAAACTTAGTGGTATTTCATTTAATGGATCTCGATGTGTGCACAAAATGATCATTATAGCTAGTGGGTTACATTATAACTGATGAAGATGTGCATTAATTCCCAGGAGTGGCAATATTCTTGCATGCTTTAGCCAAAAATATGGGAGAAATGTAGTTGAGCTCCTGGAGAATTGTAGGTAGGAGAATTAGTTGAAGCAAAGCAATAATTCTAAATGGAAATCTGATAGCTTTTGTCTTGCAAATGGACTTAATAAATCATTCATATGAGTGAATACCTTACCCGTGTGGAAGTGGGTTAAATATCTAGTGATATTTGTTCATGCTTTGTGCGTTTTATGAGTGACGAAATATGAGCGTCATAATTGTGGCTAATCACTAAGATTACCACTTTATTATGATTGACAATCACCTAAAATCACTCAATCGATTATTTCTCTGATTGAGTGTAATTACATTATTTTTGTTTCTTTATTATATAGCTAAATTTTTGTATAAATAGGTTATATATTCACATATCAAAATAATTCAATACGATTCAATTGAATTCATCTAAAGATATCCATGTGGCATACTCCTACCATTTAGTTGTCTCTCTTGTACATGGTATCAGAGTTTCCAAGTTGAATCAGAAATGTTGGTGATTATGTCACAGTTTAAGCTTTGGTTGTTTGTCATTGGAAAATCTAACCGAGTATCTGTTTAAATTGTAGGGATAGAAAGAGAGGCTAACAAGCGAAAGTTGATCCAACATGGAAGCTCTACTACCATGTCATAATTGAGAGATGGACTTTGATACCATGTCAGAATTGAGAGGACAAAAGAGGTAATTAAAAAGAGTCAGAGTAAGTATGCCCAGTGGATATCTTTGAGAAGACAAGAGAGACAATTGAAGAGAGTTAAAGTATGTCCAAGAGATATCTTTGAGAGGGAAGAATTATACTCAATTAAATTGAATTGTTTGTATTGAGTTGTTGTGAATTGTATATGAATATACCTATTTATACAAAAAGTGTGATAACTATTTAAGATAAAAAAATATTACTATAATGATTCAATCTCTATAATAAAGAAAAAAGAATAATATTTAAAATATAATAGGAATAAAAATAATGTCACGTATTCACGTGCCAACAGTGGGAAAATGTGCTTGCAATCAAGAATAATATCCTTTGTACATTCACATCAATATTCAATAATTTAATTACTTTCTAATCTCATCAACAGAGCAGACGATCCATGCAATTAATTAAGTTTGTAAGTATTGATTAAGACAAATGGCAAACTAATATCTTTTTGTTATTGATGGTTGATAGCGTGATATAATGATAATGTAATTTCTCTCCTATCAAAACATTTGTTTGTGTTATTGTCACTTGTTAACTTTCCCTTTTAACCATGATTAAGAATGTAAGATGTTTTATTATCTTGCTGTTTTTATTTGAGTTTCATGGATTAACGTAAAATACTGGGAAATACAAAATAGAATTGCCAAGTCAAGGATTTTTCCAAAGCACAACCCAATGAAGTATGACAGCAAGCATGATGCGGATTCTAATGCTATATATATGTGTGTGTGTGTAACTTCTTCTAATAGAGAATAAGCTTGGAATGAAATGACACACTTTCTTTGTTAATAAGAAGTTTTGTATATATAAAATATTGAGGTGAGATAATATCTCAGGACTAATTCAAATATATTTTAATATTTACACTTTGATTAATAACTCAACTACTTAAGACCAAGTTAGTGTTAATCATAAAGAGATCTCTGATGATCTCTATCATCTTCCTCAGTTAATCATGTAAGTCAAATTAGTTTGTGGTATTTAAGCATCAAAATCTATTCCTGCAACTGCATGCATTTTTATGTCACAATTATATAATACTATTATTCTAAATTAGATGATCAAGTTTACAATATGGATTTAATAACGCAACAAAAGTCCGCTCGGTTACACGCTTATAGAAGTCAATGTTCAACAATAATATTAATGTTGATTATTTTAGATAGAAATAAAGAATTAAATATTGTGATTTCTACTTTATATATAGGAGACTACTAAATGATTGATCGAATCTTGATATGCTTTCTCTTCTACTGTGCAGTTGCTCATATGTATATGCTTTTATCTGCAACAAATCAAGTTACAACTTCCTTGTTGGTTTTCGGTGATTTGGTCTCTCGAAGTCTCCTCTCTTCAGAAAGTAGTTTTGCAAATCTGGGTAGAATATAATTTGTTAGTATGGATAATGCATTGAAAAAAAAACAATAATAATAAAGAAATTAATCAAACCCAAATTATATGCAGCTGACTAAAAGATGTCGTTCTTTTTCTGATCATACTTTCTCAGAGCCTCCGCGTTAGTTCCACCACTTGTAACTGGTTCAGACAATCCCGTCTCAAAGTTCACCCTGGAAACTGGTTTCTTCAATAGCCTTTCACTTATTTGCACAAGCTTATCCAAGTTTTCCTCTGTGGCAATGTCGATTGAAGAATCTTTTCTATTCATTGTATCATCCTGATATAGTGTTAATTAAAAAGTTTAGTGATCATGCATCTCAGTAGATTCAAAAGCTTAATATATAGAAAGGAATCAAATTAGCTGGGTTTATATATATATATATATAAACGTACTTGAATTCTGAGATAGTTTTTTTCAGAATGAAGTGCTCGGAACACCACAGAAATATGGAAATCAACCATAGCAGCGCTTGCTTGAGTGAACACATCCACTAATGGAACAGAACCACCATGAAGTAGCCAACCCAGTGTACCCCATTTGGCTGCCTTTTCGGCGTTGTATTTGTGCTCTATCGTTGGTGAGCCAGTGCCTATTGAGATCACTAGAAAGCGGCCATAGTCCATGGGCTTAATTGGGAAGAAATCAGGATTTTCATCAAATATTTGTTTGGTCACTTGGGTTATTGCTACTAAAGCCTGTAATTTTGTGCCAACAATTAAAACTTAGCTGTGGGTTATAATAATTTTATTTTTTTTGTTTATTTTCACAAAGTACTTCCACAGAAATTACCATGCAACATACCGGATTGTTTGCAGCTACACCACCATCAATAAGATGAAAATCTCGAATGGTTCCCTCATGATTTTTGTTCTCAAAATAGTGAGAAGGAAGGTATGTTGGGGCTGCTGAAGTGCTGATGCATATGTCAGCCAGCGAAGCATCCAAATACGGAGATCTTTTAAGCTGTACATATAAGATAGATTTCTAACCAAAACTTTTCCGAAATGGAATCTCAAGTACTTTTCATCATTAATTATAGAACGCTGAACTGAAGAAGCTCTAGAGAGAGTGGGTAAAGAGAGATATATACCTCATAAGTAGAGAAAATGGTTGGCTGCAAACGCTTGATATCAAAAGTTGGAATCACAACATGGCTCAGGGTGTTATGCAATTTAGTTTCTCCTAGTTTATCCCTTACCAACCAGTTGAAGTATTTCCCGTCATATTTGGGTCCTGTAAATGATCTCAACATCTTTCTAATTGACCCCCATATACCCCTGCAATTAAACAAACTAATGAGTTATAATCTAGACTAAGTTAAGTGTAATAGCATGGCAATATTTTCATTATTTATGTGAAGCTATAACAAAAAAGAAAAGAAAGACTAGCAGTTACAAGATTACCTCTCCTGGGGAAGATTTTTGGGCAGTGGTCGAGATAAAATTGTTTGATATCCTTGGCAGCGAATAGATCGATTATTTTCATTTGGAGCTGTCAGCATGGCAGTTATAAGGCCACCGGTGCTGGTCCCTGCAATCAATCAAAGTAGTCTGCAAGTCTGGCATCTTCGCCATCCAGCTCCTGCGTTCACAGAATTTATGCCAAATTGTAGTTAGTGTTCCTCTAGTTCTGAATCGATCTCAGATACAGTCACAAATGTATATATGCACACTCCGACTAGCATGGTTAAGGTCCATATAATTCCTATCTCTTTATTATAATGAGATTAATCTTTTTGTACAGTTTACATGAATGCTTGATCATTAAGTAGTTATATCATTGAGAAACTACCATAGCATATTTTATGATGGCAAATAAATAGCCTATTATGAGTAAATAAAATAGGTCCATATTAGTACTGAAGTGATCTACGTATAAAAACTGTAGAAGTAGTGTTGTATGTATATTCATGGATACGCATGATTCAACGAAAACCTGAAGTGGATTCAAGGAAAGCAATTATAGTAGCAGGGATAATCCCTCTTACACCACCACCACGATACTGAGAATAGTGATCAAATTCCCATAAGTTGGGGCCTGGATGGGAAGAGGGAAGATGTTATTCTGTGCATCTCAAAACTTGTAATGAAATAGCTAATATATCTCAGTAATAAGACAACTAAAGGTGAAGAAGATACACTAAAATTGAAGTTAATTTGATGGAACATTTTGATCAATCAACAAGCTATTTATAGGATTCATTTACTGTTCAATCGATTAAGAGGTATTTACATGTTTTAATTTCTTAAGACACAGAATTTTCTTGCGTGAGAATTGTTCATAACTCTTCCATGCATGCCCATGCACAACTTATAAAGCTTGATAAGTATGCCTGCGTTAAAATCACAGAAACGTGTGTAATCTTAAGTATGGGGATAAGCCATGAATCACATCATTTTAATTTCTATCTCATTACTTATAAAATTATATACATTGTGTGTCTGACATCATTGCTTTACTAGATGAATATACTAATGATGTAATATAACAATTTAATAGAAATGCTTTTTTCACTAGAACTCTTTTTCATTGTCTTAGCTTAACCTACAAGTGCGTGAGGGGCACGATTCATTTTCATTAGATTTGCAAGGTAATGGAGCCGCCGAATCATGAAAACTGGCCTAAACAACGCATGGCCGTACACTGATTGGTT